CGTAGTGTGCAAAAATCTGCTTTTAAAACAAAAACTTGTTAAAGAACATTTCATATTAAGATAATGCACATTAGAAGGTACCTAGTAAACGGTTTTGTACAACAAACCTGAGATAAGGTTGTTGATTTTTAATACTCTTTATGCAACAATTTACCACCAACACCAAGAAACTCCTCTTCCAGTCATCATCAAGAGGAGTTTCCACGGGTGCTAATTTGCTCACAAGTTTGTTCACATTATTGGGGAGTACTCCCCCATGGTATCTCTTGTAACTATTTAACACCTCCTTATAATCTTCATTGCCATCCTTTGCATCCACTATTTCCTTTCCTCCACTTGGTATTCCATATACCATGTGAACATCAGCAACTTTTACATCAATTGATCTATTTCTATCCAAATTTAATTTCATTCTTACGGCATCAAAATTCAAGACAAGTTGTGCCGAAAATTCAGGATAATTGTGGGGGGAAATCCAAGTGCAAGAATCCACCAAAACCCATATCCTTTATAGCTTGAAGCTTATCAACTTAGTTAGCCAACTGCTGAACCAAGTGCATCAAAGGCATAACAGTTGCCTCGTTGTCAGCTTTTTTCTAGGTCCTTCCTCATCACCAACATCATCGTACTACTTCTTTTTGTGCAACTCCTTTCTTGGCTTTCTTATTTTAGGTTGCTTCTCTATTGCAACCACCTTTGGAACCTGAACAATTGATTGTGTTGCTGACTGAGATATTGATTGTGCAGCACCTTGTTCTGGTTTTTCTTTAACAGGAAATAATGGCTCCCCTATAGGAGCCCTCCATTTTTTTAGCATTCTCACAAATTTTTCCTCAATAACCTTCACCGGTTCTTCTGATTGATCAGCTTCCTCTTCATCATAAACTTTCCCACCCTTCTTTGTACAGAAAATTAAAAAAAAAAAAAAAAATCAGCATACAATATATCTTTAATAATTTGAACTACTAAATTATAAATGACCTTACCCATTTTTCCTTGCAATTTGTTTAAATCGGTGAGGCTTCTTTTTAGGCCCATCATCAGCCCCATGTTCTTTGTCTCGTTTTGTTTCATCCTCGGTTTTAGACTCTACTACAGCAGGTTGCAATAGTACTTCAATTTCGTCCTTAGATCTTCAATATTAAATTAAAGAAGCATCATAAAATTAAATGCTTATAAAATGAACATTGAGTCTATAAAAAATGTACACATATTTATATACACTACTAAAAAAAAAAAAGATAAAATCAACCAACGTTTATTTGAAAAAAAAAAAAAAAACATTGTTTTCCAACTGAAAAAAATAGACAACTAAATTAGCAATCATAAAATAAAATCTGCCTACTATCATTGAAGCGGAAACAGTGTTATGAATGCATCCTAGTCCCTCTCTTACCTTCATTAGCCAACTCATAACCAAACCCCCAAAAGAAGAGTATCAAAGTCAGGTGTATAACATTGGAAAAAGGTAGGGTTAGTCCAAAATTTGTCTTAAATAAATAATAAGTAGAAAATAATTATAACAATAAGTAAGAGACAGCTAAAACCTTGAGACCTTTAAAATTAAGTTAGCATGTTAATGCCTTTCATTTTCAATTTTCAACTCTTTTAATCTATACATCTATATTATCCTTACCATAACAATTACTTAATTATTCAAAGAAAGAACATTGTTTTCTATTATAAAGAACAACCATACTATAAAAAAGAACATTCAAACTATCAAAAAGAACGAACACACCCTATCCAGATCTACTCTAAGGTACAAAGAAAATCTACTTATAAATAATGAACATTACACTACAATAAAATGAACATACTAACATGTTACAATAACAAGGCTCACTGTTTAAAATAATACTCCTATTTTAGTTCACAACTACCAGTCCAACAATTAAAATAAATAGATTTACGATCTCAAATAAAACAAAAAGAGAAGATACAATAAAAGCAGACATTTCGTAATGGTCAAAGCTTGTACTTACTTGGTAATAGCAATAACTTTGTTAATGGCTTTCAACATCTCAGGGTCCATAATTGGATCTTGAACCTCTGTACTACTTGTTCCTTCAATTTTCTTCTTACTTTTACCCTTTTTCTTTTCAAGGTAAGCTATTAATTTCTCACCATCTTGTTCTTCTTGTTGCACACTACATCCCAAAAAATTCAAAATTCCTCACAGATTTATTCAAAAAATCACCAACCAAAAAAAAAAAAGGGAAAAACTACACATTCAGTCACACGAAATCACCAATTAAACACGGATTAAGCAAAAAAAATAAAAATACTCACTTTGCTAATTCCTTTGGTAGATCTTTAGTTTGAGTGCTTCGCATGATGAAAAACAACGTTAATAGTCAATAGAGTACTTTGCATGATGAAATTAAACTTACATATCATCTTCTTTCACCATCTTCACAAATTTTTGAAGCACAATTATGGTTTTTTTTTACCGTAATCTATTAGGGTTTTGATAGTAATTTAATGGTTTTTTCAAAGAGAAAATAGTAGAGAGAGAATTTGATTTTTAGAGAGAGAAAGTGATTTGAAAAGATTTTACATTTTATTTCGGGGTAACTATTTTTTTACTTTCTTTTTTTACTCGCATGGTAAAATATTCTCGCGTTCTTCTTAATTCAACACAATGTTCATCGACTTTTTTTTTTTTTTTTTTATTTTTTTATTTGAGGCTTTAATGCGACCCGCGTTTTATTTACATAGGGATGTCGTTTTGGACCGGATGTACCATGCTCATGGTACACTCGGGTGTAGGGATCAGGAGTTGTCCATCACTTTAGTGAGCCTCCACTAGCCGCTTATACCCCATGAATTCCCCACATATATGACCCACCAATTATTCGCTTATGCACACTTAAGAAAAATGATTACTAAATAAAACTATATAGAATCATATATATATATAAGGTGATCCATGCATGGCGGATTTTTTAAATAACTATATTCATCCATATATAACAAAATTTATACCCATACTCGCTCCAACTAGGCGAGTACAATGTAGAATTTGCAATCATGTATACACTTGTCAATTTGTCATATTTAGACTATGCTTAGTTTACCCAATGTTGCTTATTTGATATGAGATGTTTTTTACAATGTTTTTTTTTTTTAAAAAAAATTTATTTTCACAAAAACAAGGATTTAAAGGGTGATTTTTGATCAAATTTATTTCACGTAAAACAATTAAGTATATTTTCATAACATATTTTTTCATATCTAATCTAATAAAAATAATTATTCGCATGCAGTTAAACATAGCCTTACTTTTCAAAAAAAAAAAAAAAAATAAAAAAAAATAATGCCTTACTTGAAAACTTGATATAGGGTTTGATGTTAGATTTTCCATTTTTTGAGGGGTAAATTAGTAAATATATAAAATGCAGTTTAATTTTAAAAAATTACCCGCTAATTTTTTTTTACGGAAATTTCATGATATACCACTGAGTTTCTTCAAAATTCACCATATACCACACAAAATTTTTTAATTCACCATATACCATTGAGTTTATGAACGTTAGCACAGTATAGCATTAATGACAACTGTCGTCAGTGTGCCGTTTGGGGTAAATTACTAGTATGCCCTTACGAATTCAACTGGTGCCATTGTTTAATTAATCATAAAAAAAAAAAAAGAATAAAAAAAACCCTTATCCCCTACCTGGCCACCGTAACCCCAACCACCACCTCCACCTGCCGCCGGCCGGCTACACTTACCCCTCCCTTCACCTGCCCCAATGGTGGACTGGTGGTTGCGGTCTTGCGGCGAAGGAGAGGACGAGGTTGGCTATGGTGGATTGGTGGTTGCGTGCTTGCGGAGAAGGATAGAGAATTTGATGGTGGTGCGAAGGACTAGGTTGGCTATGGTGGGCTTGCGGCTGTGGAAGGGGGATGGGTTTCCGGTGAGACTAGGGAGAAGGGGACGCACCACCATTAAACCGTCCCTACTTTATCCCCAAACAACCACCACCGTTTTACCAGCTCCTCCCCTACTTATTTTGCGCACACCAGTACACTGTAACAACACCAAACAGAAGCCCCCTGCACCTCCCCCCTCACGCTACCACCAATCAACCACCACTCCACCTTCGCACCTCTATTGTGGCCCCAATTGCACCAATTTTGCATCAAATTGAAGACCCGTTTGGCATTATTACCCCTTTCTCCCTCGAAATCCCATCCCCAAACCACCGTCGGCGTCTAAAGCCCCCCTCCCTGCGCCGGTGAACCCAAATCGGCTGTCGGCGAATGGGTTTCGGGGTGGGCGAGAGTCGATTCTGGGGTTTCAAGGGTGGGGGATGTTTTTCTAGGGTTTCGTTTGAAGGAAAGATAGTTCAAGGTGGGGGATCGTGGTATAGGGGGGAGGGTGATGGCAGGGGAGGGGCGACGCCGGCTGCGGGCGGAGGTTCGGGGCACCGGCTAAGGGAGGTGGTTGATTGGGTCTGGGCTTCGCCGGTGGTAAGAGGTGGGTGGCAGAAGGATCTGGTGGTTGTGGTTGGTTTGATGGTTTTTTTTTAATAATTATTTTTTAAAATTTTTATTTTCAATTTTATTAATATTAATTATTCTTTAATTCTTTATTTAAGTAATTAATTAGATAATATTAATAAGAGCCAATAAGTGAAAGCCACGTGGCACAATTAACCTTAATTACTAACGGCGTTAACGGCAGACTAACGACAGTTACCACTAATGGTATTCTGTGCTAACGTTCATAAACTCAATGGTATATGGTGAATTAAAAAATTTTGTGTGGTATATGGTGAATTTTGAAGAAACTCACTGGTATATCATGAAATTTCCGTTTTTTTTATGTTAACGTCTTAAGGAGAGAGAAAATGAAGAGAGATAGAGGGATGGTTATAGAGGTCAACAACTTTGAAGCTTTCCTGCTGGCGGTTAACATTCTTAAGCTGCTACCTAATGATTGAAGTTTCAGGTCAGCTGCGATTTTCTTAATTATTAATTTATACCATCAATTTCATTTTATCCTTCAATTAGTAGTTTCGTATTTTATTTGAACATCTTATTTGTTTTTTGATGCAAATGGCAAAAAACACAGCTAAAATCTTTGACCATTGACTAATCAATATGAAAACCCAGCTCAATTTGAATCCTGTTTAGAGTCAACTTTCCAATTAAACCTTCAATTTTGGTTTCTGATGCGATTTGGGGAAAAGGGTATCAATTGATTTCTTGAATAATCCCTCAATTGATTAGGGTTTTTTTTTGGGGGGGTTTGATGATGAAGAAATTAGGGTTTTTGTTTTCTGTTTTAATTAGCTATTTGGTAGTTGTTGAATCAATCTGTAGTAGAGGTTGTGATTTGGGTTTAGCTTCATACTATGTTCAGTCAGGTGATACTCTTCTTGTCATAGCAAATCACTTTCAAACTTCAACTGCTGATATTATGAGCTATAATCCCCAAATCACGGATGAAAATAGCATTCAAAGGAATATCCGGATTAATATTCCGTTTTCTTGTAATTGTATAAATGAAAGTTTTCTTGGTCATAATTTTAGTTACCAGATTGAGACTGGCGATACGTATACAACTATTGCAGCAAACAAATATGCCAATCTTACTACTGCTAGTTGGCTTCAGAATTTTAATAACTATACGGCGACTAACCTTACAGTTAGTGGCAACCTTAATGTGATTATTAACTGTTCTTGTGGAAATAGCAGCGTGTCCACGGATTATGGGTTGTTCATTACTTATCCACTTCGTCCTGGTGATAGCTTAAGCTCTATTGCGCGGACAGCTAATTTGAATGCGAGTTTGTTGCAGAGGTATAATCCTGGTGCAGACTTTAATGATGGAAATGGGCTCGTTTATATTCCTGGAAGAGGTATCACTTTCTCTCTCTCACACACACATATTGAAATTATGTTTAAAGTACTATTTTTGAGTGTTAAAACCTAGGTGAATTCTGGTTTCTTTTTCTTGAGGTTTATCGAATGTTTAGTTGTTAAATTGTGAATTGATCATTGCCTTCTTTAGCTTAGAGAACTTGTTGGAAATTTGGAATTTGTGACTTAGCTACTATGCATTGTTATATCGTGCAACTGGCATGCATATTGTAGGATTTGAAAACTTGTGAAACTCAGTAAAAAGCATGGTTAGGGGTATGGTAACAATTAAACAGTTTGGACCAAAAGCTTATTAAATATTAAATGCATTTCTTATAGGCTGCATACAGTCTCAAAACTTGGCTAAGTCAAACTTGACTCGATACATTGACATTGGAATGTATTGGATGTTTCTTATCTATCCTTGCTACTTCTTAAGCTTTATTAGTGTAATTACAATTATAAATTTCGCACCCAATAGGTCAATTATTTTATGTTTTTTATAATGAACCAATGGATAAAGATAAATCTGGGAGAAAAGGTCTTTTAAGCTTGTCAAGTAATTATGTTTGTTGAGGCACAAGTATAGGTAATATAATTAGTGATCATCACGCGTCTATATAAAACAAAACAAATCAAGACAATCCAACCCATTTAGTGACTGTATGGCTGGGTAGGTGGTGGAATAGAAGAGAGGTGTAGATAATATGGTGCAATGCTCAAGTCCCACTTGATGGAGAGCGTTTTATAAGGAATTTCATGATAATCATGAAAGAAAATGAGGAGAGAGACTTTAAAGATGGCCCACCATACAGTCACAAATTGGGGATATGAATTACCTTTCTCTTTCTTGAGTCTCCCAACCAAACAACCCTCAATTCTTAAGATTGGATAATTCTTGGAGTTAAGATGAACCCAATACATATATATAATATAGGGAATTGCTAGAATGAGAATGAGAAAATGAGAAAACCACTTAAAAGTTGACACATGACCACTTCCTAATTTTTAAAAAAGTAAATATTCCTTTCTTATGTACTTTGTACTTTATATGGGACACTGACAGTTTTTAACTGGCTTTCTCATATTCTCATTTTTCATTCTAGCAAATCCCTATTTATATATATATTTATATATATATATATATATATATATATATATATATATATATATATATATATATATATATATATATATATATATATATTGGAGATTGGAGATTGGAGAAGGAAAAATATGATTTCACGCATGTGGCAGCTTTTGTTGTATTATTTCTTGAGTATTAGCCATGTAGAACCCCAAATCATCTTGGGACTAAGGCTTTGTTGTTGTAATAGCCATGTAAAAGGACCAAACAACTAGAATGCCAGCACTCATGCCTGGATGCTGTTTGTAACATACTTTGTACGAAAAGGAGAGATGGATTATATATGTGTTCAATCTTCCCAGAAATTTAAATTTTAGATCAATAATCTTTGGCAGTATAATTTTCAACCATTTGGCATAGTTTCTGGTTAAATAAATTCTGAGTAAAAATCATATGGGCTGGCAAATCATATATACAAGGGCAAACAACTAAAATACCAGGCACTTGTGCCTGACTACTGTATAGCTTTCAAATAGTTGGAGGGATGAATTTTTGCTCTCTGTTTGATTTTCTTAGAAGATTGAATTTTAGATTGTAAATAACTACTGCAGCATATATAATTTTATTTCAAAACACAAGATAGGGGAGGCGAGTTTACACAGCTCACCTCTGTTTCAGGCTTCAGCTTTTCATCACACCTTAAGTGCTATCTTGACCTAATAATATGTGTATTAAGCTGGAGAAAAAGTTCAATGATTAGCTAAGTAGCTAACTCTTCTTACTTATTATAAAGGCTGCATTGATTATATCTGGAGGAAAAAAAATGTGTTCTCTGAGTATCAGTTTTTGGTATGTTTCTGTAATGACCTTTTGTTCACCATGGGATGAATCGCTTAAAGCTTTTAACTGAGACTTTTGCAAGCATGCTCACTCATTTTCTGAACTAGCCTCAATTTATTACTCTTTTGTGCAGACAAAAATCAAAATTATCCTCCATTGATTTCAGAATCAAGGTATCTTGTCTTATTTTATTACCAGACTCATCTATTTGTATAACAATTACTATTTCTATCTCATCTGAGCCACTTTCTTAATATAATTGCCTTGTTATATTTTTTAAAAATTATATGCAGCCCAGGACCAGGTGGACCTTCCAAAGGTATTTGACTTTGCTCCTTCTTTAAAAAATAAAATAAAATTATTTATTTATTTATTTATTTTATCCTATGTCACACCAATAAAGCTTCTTGTCTATTCCCTTTTCCATATTCTTGGCTGTTCTAACAGTTTATACTTCCTTATGACAATTGTCTTGTATTCTGCCAGGAATTTCTCTTGGAGCCATAGCTGGTATATGTGTGGCAGTTGGATTATGTGTGCTCTTGATTGCTTGGTATCTTGTCTATATAAGAAGAAAGAAGAGGAAAGCAGCAGCGTTACTTTTTGATAAGCCCCAGTTAACACCAGCTGGTACTCTTCATCTTTTGTGGTGAACTCTTGAATTATTTATTAGTGTTATTATTTTTTTTTAAAAAGTTTTTAAGTAAGATTATATGAAAAAAATAATAAAGAAATGTGAGAAGCCACTAAAACAAAACGACTGCATGATGACGTGGTATTATTGTTATTGTTATTGTTATTGTTATTGTTATTGTTATTGTTGTTGTTGTTGTTGTTATTGTTGTTGTTGTTGTTGTTGTTGTTGCTGCCATAGACCAAGAAGCTAAGCCATCATATGATCCCAAATACCTCCACCCTATTAGTTCTATACTAGAAACCATAGACATTATGGTCCAACCAAAGCACCCAAATTACTGTCATAAACGTATAACTCCAAAGCACCTTCTGGTTTCAAAAGTAATCTGATATTTTGGCAGTCTTGTGCTGGATTAATATTGTTTGCTTTATTGTGAACTAAACATGTAACTGGACCATCTGAAGCTGTGGCTGTTAATCCTAAGCATCCTGGCATAGCAGTTGATAAGTCAGTGGAGTTTTCTTATGAAGAGCTTGCAAACGCTACTAGTAATTTCAGTTTGGCTAACAAAATTGGTCAAGGTGGATTTGGAGCTGTTTACTATGGGGAGCTAAGAGGCGAGGTTCGTAGATGCATTTATTAATTTTCCTGTGTGTACAAACACTAAGAATAGTTATACCGTTCTATACGTAGGCATGTATTCATAAATTTGGTTTGTTCATTTTTTTGAATCTTCAGAAAGCAGCTATCAAGAAGATGGATATGCAAGCAACAAAAGAATTTCTTGCTGAACTGAAGGTCTTGACACATGTTCATCACCTGAACTTGGTATACACTCATCCCCCGAGTCTCTGAGCATGTCTGACCAGTCAGTAACTTTGAGTCTTTGATGTACTGTCTTATAAGTTGTTTTCTGCTGAACTAGTCTAAGTGTATCTCTTCATTTATATATTATACTCTATTAAATTACTATATACCTTGCATTCTTGTTCCCTGCTGCAAGATTATGTATATGAGTTAGGTAGGATTTCAATGTTTAAGATGACCAGCAATATTTTCTATTGGTTGACAATCCCTATAGAAATGAGAAAGGGGACCTCCTTTGTAAATAGAGTGGAGAGATAGTGTTACTCAAACTTAGTCTCTTCCTTGTAATCGAGTACGTAGTACACAATAGGGGGCTCCTTCCTGCTAAGATTCATCATTTGTTGATGATGACAAATTGATAATGTTGAATGGTACTTCTTGCATATTGAAAGAGCCAAAGGTTATTAAAATTTATGTTGAAGAAATTTAATTTGAGTGTCTTAGCGTGCACAAGCAACTAAAATTGAGTTTGGCATTGGGTAACGGTACATGAGTGTCAAGTTGAATTCATCAAGGCAACAAATATAAAAAATTAGTGTTAAATCAACATAAGAGCTCTGCCCTAAAGATCTAATCCTCACTGACTCAATCAACTGCTTATGAAAGCTTTCACGCGGCATTAAGGCTTTTGACAATCGATGCCCCTACTAAAAAAATTATTTGTTACTAAGTATTACTAAGCAGCTCGCAGCAAGTGCCAACAAATGTTGTTGATGTACATAAAAAATAAAAGAGAAGACTTAAACTAGGTATGTGTAAGGATCATGACACAGGATTTTTGAGAAAAAATTCTCTCAGCCTATCCCTTGGATTCCATGAACTCTTTTCTGCATCTATTAGTTGGTAGGTGATCTTGCTTCTTAACATTTATGGTCCCTTATTTTTATCTAAGTGAAAGAGTCAATGCTGGGCAACTTTTTAGCTTTGAGTTGGTACATTTAATGCTCCATGCCAGCTAGATGTCCTTGCTTCATCAATGAAATACAAGATAAAAAATGCCTATGCAATCAAACTTCTAATAGAAATAATCTTTCTGCTGTCTCAGTATTAGTCTACGTACAACTGAACCCTCTTACCTTGCGGTAAGCTGGAGTTTTGTGAAAGGCATCAGGCATATAATGTGTCCTTGACAGACTTAAGGCTTCACCTTTAGACATCTCTTAGCAAAAGGGGTTGAGAAGAAATGTATGTATTAGTTATTACTATGTTTGGCTTGCAGATCCTGTTATAATCACTTAACATCCTCAATCACTTCAACATTTCTTAAGCTAATGTGAGAATGAAGCCTTTTATGTAATGGTGGCCCTTATGAGGATGCAAATTTATGCTAGTTTCCAGTGCTTGATAATACTCTTCCAGTAGAAATTTTTGTACTGTCCTAGTGATGAAATGGAAGAGATCATCTTCCCTTAGATATTTATGCTAGTTTTCAGGCTTGATAATACTCTTTCGGTAGAAATTTGGTTCCGTCTTAGTGCTGAGAATATTCATAGGAGGCTGTTCAGTTCTTGAATTTTTTTGGGTTGGCTAAATTCTGTTTGGTTCTTTCTCAACTGAGATATTTGGATCAGTGAAAGTTTTTAGTTGTGTGTGTGTGCGTGTGTGTGTGTGTGTGTGTGTTGGTTTCTTACAATTACCACTCGCCAGATTCCTGACACAATTTCAGTCTCACATGGTGTTTATTGGATACTTGGTTTCTGTTCCTGTTATATTAGAGCTTTCTTTTCCCCCTCTATTCTTATTTTTAAGGTTAATTTTTGAACTGAAGTTCATTCTTATGTCATGTATGATGAAAAATTGAATATTGAACCTTTTCATGCATCTGCTATACTTATATTTGACCATAACTAGTTAGTTGGAATAAGGTATTTTTCTCCGCAACCAATTTAATGTCTATTATAGTTCCTTTAAAAATGAGGATTATCCGAGTATACTCATGTATGCTGTATCTAATTTGATGTCTGTTACAACCAGCCTCCTATGAACATACTCATGTATGCTGTATGTGAGTGCAGGTTCGCTTGATTGGATACTGTGTTGAGGATTATCTCTTCCTGGTATATGAGTATATTGAAAATGGAAACTTGAGTCAACATTTGCGTGGTTCAGGTGGAGCTATCTCTGTGCAAAACCAATTTCCTTCTGTTTTTCTCCTTTGGCATAAATATTCTATCAGTGCCAACATGCTAGCCTATCTCTTTTCAGGAAAAGCTGTTCTGCCATGGCATGCCAGAGTACAGATTGCTCTTGATTCAGCAAGAGGTCTTGAATATATCCATGAGCACACTGTACCTGTCTACATCCATCGTGATATTAAATCTGCTAACATATTGATTGACAATAATTTCCATGCAAAGGTACGTCAAATAACTGCACGTTTGTATAATAGCCACTAGCCAGTCAATACTTTATCAGCTCACAATCTGCTATATTTATAGGTTGCAGATTTTGGATTGACAAAGCTAGTGGAGGTTGGAAATGCGTCTTTACCAACTCGTTTAGTGGGCACATTTGGATACATGCCGCCAGAGTATGTTACTTAGAATTGAATGACAGTTGAAAACTTTCCTTCCTCATAACCCTGATATTACTGCATACACCACAAGCACTTGTGGTAAATTATGCTAATTTGGCTTCGGCTTGGTTCTTCCATCCACTTGGCTTGATCTCTGTCCCTAGTCCTAATGCAAGTGGGATGGAGCTACCCCTGCTGCTCAAAGCAAAGTATTAACATATTAGCTCTCTCTGATGAATGTATCAACATAATGTGAATGGATTGAGGTTCTTTGATCTGTTATAGCACTGTAGACAACTTATTCAACTAGACAATTAAGTAGCTTTTACTCACCACCTCTTGACTGGCACTGGCTTCTAGGAAAATAAATTGACTTCTTATTGTTATTTGTGATAGTTGGTACTCCCTCCACATCTAAAAGTTCTTCTATTTTGTTCTTTTTTTTTTTTTTTTTTGGTGAGACAATATCCATCCAACCGGAAGAACTTTTAGAGACAAAGGAAGTATTTGGTACTGAGCTAATTATTTAATAATAGTCAAGGTAATGGGGTTGTTTTACTACTTCCTCCTTTCCACAAATATTGCAACGTTTGCACTATTCACACAATCCTCTTTAACCATATATTGTGACTCATACGTAAGGAAAATATAGTCCATGTGGAGGCTTGTTAGATTCGTCTCAATATTTATTTTTACCATTAATATTTAATAACAATTATGGTTTACCTTAATATAATTACAAAACAATGTAGAAGAAGAATGGCTAATAAGGTTGTTATTCTCAAACACTTCCTGGTTGTTTTGTTCTATGCACGACCTCTCAGCCTTGGCTTTCTACATAGGTTTTTTTATTAAAAAAAAAAACAGTTATTCTTTATAATGAGCATGGGGGTGGTGTGGCAAAATTTCCACAACTGAATCATGGAATTAAGAGTGCTTAAATATGGTGCCGGTCTTAAGGAGTAGGGCTGTTTGGAAATTGGACTCGTTTGCATGTTATTTTTGAGTCTGACATAATAAACCTCTCCCCCTCTTTATTCAAATGTCGGTCATTCATTCCAGTTTTGCAATTGAATTTTCATGGTGTAGTGATAAGAATAGTAGATAGAGGTATAAATCATGAAGAAGTTGAACTGCTGAAGTTTGTAAAAGAGAAGCTTGAGGTTTTTGCATGAAGAGGTGTTTAGAAATGTTAGAGCCATCAGATGGGAGGTTATTTGCAAGGTAGCTAAATGTATGGTTTAGAGAGGGAGGTGCACTGGATGATTGGTTTGTTAATGCATACTTTTTCTTAACAAAAAAAAAAAAGTTAATGCATACTTTTCATCAAAATTCTCTGGGCATTTTAACCCTGTAAGAGAAGAAATGAACTGTAAGGGATACTAATTCTAAGCATGCCCTTGACATGGTTAATGGAAAGAGGATATGAAGCTTTATCAAGGAGTTGGAACACTTGGAAGTGGAGAAAGGTTGTAGTTAAGGACTCCAGAGATATCATTTAGGTGATAGAATCATCATATGGAAATTTTCAGGTATTAATAGTGCTTGGTTGAAAATAGCATCATCTAGTGATGAAGAAGATAGAAACTCATGTAGAATGATTTAGTGACAGATTATAACCCTTATAGGTGTATAGGCATCCTACTTCAAGTCTTCAACAGTTCAGCATCTGGTCCACATGAGATGTCTAATTATGTTTTGTTATTTGTCAATCATTGTCATGGTCAAAGAACATTGTATAAGCAGCTTCCTTTACATAATATTGCAGGACAAGAATTGCTCATAATTGTCAACATATAAGCTTGCAAAGGGGGCAACTTAGATTGAAGCCAATAGCCGACAGTAGTTTTTGCTGTCATGTAGTCAAAGTTCTAATCACTGTGGAAGTTGATATTGAAATTCTAGGAGGTTTTCCTGCTTTATTGTGTCAGAATAGGAAGTTTTCTGATTCTTTTTTTTTTTTTTGGGGGGGGGGGGGGGGTGGTGGGGGCTACATTCCATATAAATGATTTTCTTAAATATTTGAAGTCAATGATACTACTGCTAGTTCATGATTGTTGTATCATGATGATTTGTTTTATCTTTTCTGTATGGAAATCTTTTAGAATTATCAAAGGTACTATTATGTCTAATCATGTCTTAACCCCTTGTACCAATAATGTATTTGCCTCATAGAGATCCTAACTAGGCTGTGCTTCATACAGGTACGCCCAATTTGGTGATGTCTCTCCCAAAGTAGATGTTTTCGCTTTTGGTGTTGTTCTCTTTGAACTCATATCAGGCAAGGAAGCTGTGGTAAAAGGAAGTGAATCATCTCTTCAACCACAGGGCCTTGCTACTTTGGTAAATATCTGTTTTTGGTTAATCATACCACTTCTATAAATATTATGTTACTTTCTTAATATACAATATTAATATCAAACAAAGTATATTAGAAAAAGAATGCATGTAGTAAATAAATATGTTCCAGTGCCAGTAAGTTAGACATTCTTTTAAGAACAAGTCAAAATAGAAAAGCTAGCATTTGTTTAGGAATAGAGGAAATTATTGTGTGATGTTTCTTTTAAACCATTCACCGTTTCTTAATCGATTTTTATTTCAATCGATATGCCTAATGCAGTTGTTCTTACCAACTTCATTATTAATAATTTTTTTGTCCATGTAACAGTTCCAGGATGCTTATAGTGAGTCTGATCCGAACAGTATATGCAAACTAGTGGATCCGAAACTTGGAGAAGACTACCCTCTGGACTCTGTTTTCAAGGTGAATATGATCAAGCAATAACATATGTTGGCTAATTTGAGGTCTAAAAGATGTTTGTTTTAAGAGTTACTATATGTTTATTGTTTTGCAGATGGTAGAGCTAGCAAGAGCATGTACTCATGAGAATCCCGAACTGCGACCTAGCATGAGATCTGTTGCAGTTGCTTTGATGTCCTCCTCATCAACCATAGAAAATTGGGATACAGGTTCGTTCCATGAATATGGCCTTAGAAATCTTGGGTCTGGAAGATAGCAGAAAATGGAGGATGCTAACATATATCTTCTACCAATTCTTTTTAAATGTAATCAGTAAATGACATTGAATTATTGATATAGATAGATTTTCAGTTGTGGTATGGTCTCATGATCTTTTTCCACACTTGTGTCTTCTATTTTTTTTTTAAATTTACATCTTTTTATTGAATCTAGCGTTGTTCAAACATTCGGACTAGCCTAACTCGAAGTGACATTGTAAAATTTTCTTTTCTTGTGTATAATTGAATAGTGAATTGAAAGGTTTTGTTGTAGTTGTTGATAAAACAAGATTGGGTAATTGGAGAAAAAAATCTCCCAGGGATAAAAGTATCAAAAGCCAGCCCAAATAATTGAAAAAATAAATAGATAAATAAAAAAAAAAATAAACCAACAATCTGAATTGAAGTAAAGAAATAGGGCTGGAAAATGGAAATAATCCAAATAAATTAGATTAGTTCCTGCCTAAACAAAATTATTAGACTACATTTGGCATAAACAATTAAGAATACCAAAATCGAGAAATAGCGAATAGGAGGAGAGCGGTTGTTGCATGTTAATCATCATGTATGAATCGTGAAAAAACTTTGTATTGATTTATATTTCATGTAGTGTAATGGTTAAGGATGTTAAATTAATAACGATTATGATTCTATAAATGTTTTAAACCATGTAATTAGAACGTTTTGAAATTTTGGAAACATAATGAGTAACCAGAAATTGATTAATAAGTTCATCTAAAAATAAAGGAATGAGAGTTTGGTTAAAAGACTATTAGGAGGGTGTTTGGTTCAAGTATCTCTCATATCTCGTGTTTGTTTAAGAAAATTGCAGTTTTCAAACTTATACCTCAAATTCACAAGGTATAAGATTTGAAAACACAAGGGAAGGTTGGTTTGGTTCACTAAGTGGTATGAGTTTAAAATCAATGATAAAATCAAACTGTTATGAGATTAGAGCTTGATTTTTAATACTTTGTATTCGATTGTTGTTTGGGAACGAATTTTTCCTTTTTATTTGATACCTAGAAGTATGGTATGAGTCACACTCACCTACCCCTTAGGTTTATTAACCCATGTATTGCGAGGTTGAGGTATGAGTTGAAAATTTGAAATTTTCTTAAACAAATGTTACATATGAGTTCGGTGCAAATATGATGGTGGAGGCGTATGCACAATGCTCATTGTACATGCGTTGAACATCATGCTTAACTTCAAGAGCATGAACACTAAAAATCCAATGAGCATAAAGTCCAATGAACATAAAGATGGTGTTATGCTAATTAGAATTAGTGTTTACGCTCTTTGAAATTAACCTTAATGTTCAACGTATGCACAGTGAGCATTGAGCAGCTGATCACCCTACATACGCCTCCACCATCCAATTTAGTTTTATCTATTCCGAATCCAAACTCCTTAAACCTGAAATCTAGTAACTAAACAATCAAACACCCATTAAACATCAATTTTCAACCTCCTACCTTTGTTCTAAAATAACTGACACGCTAGTTATTTTTCACTATTCAAATATTAACTTTTACTATAGTATTTCGAGTCCTTTCCCTAAATAATGTTGGAAAATTATCTAATTCCCAAATTACAGCCAATCTTTTTTTAATTCCCAAATTACCGTCCATGTCAGCTAAGGAAAAACAACCGTTTTTTTTTTTTATCGGCCCAACAACAAACCGCTACTTCAAGTAGCGGTTTGTCTCGAAACACCGCTGCTTTAAGGAGTGGTTTTCCATTTTATGTAAATAAAAAAAATTATTGAAATAAGCTAGAACGCTACTCCAATAATTTACATAAAATGCAAAATCGCTACTTGAAGTAGCGGTGTTTTGAGACAAACCGCTACTTACTTCAAGTACCGGTGTATGAAATTGAAACCACTGCTTGAAATAGCAGTTTATTCCCAGAACACCGCTACTTCAAGTAGCGGTTAGATGCTGGACCGATAAAAAAAAACGCATTTTTTTCTTTAGCTGATGTGGATGGTAATTTGGAAATTAAAAAAAGATTGGCAGTATTTTGAGAATTGCGTGTTTTTCCAACAATATTTAGGGAAATGACTCTAGTTTTTTACTAAAGTAATAAAAATATAATTTATCATAAAATATGTTGTTATGTATTATATTATAAAAGTGTCATGCTATAACTTTTTTTTATATATATAATTTTTGTTAATATTTAATTAAATAAAAATAAGATAAATTAGTATTTATATTTGAATGCGTGAGTTATTTTGGGACGGATGGAGTTCCAGTATAACCCCCAATCAATTGATCGTTAAAACCCTCACCGGTCTTAGAGTCAAAGGCGCAGCATTGGTTAGTTAAACTGACACTTAAACCTTTGCGGCAGGTACTACATCTTACTTTTCTGCTTCTTCCTTAGTTCCTTTTCTACAATTTTTCAAATCTTGATCAATTGATTCTATAATTCGAAGTTGCTATATAATTTTATCTAAAACCCATTACCACTTTTCATTCAAAAATCACGATTTCCATTTCTTAATGTGTAAAAAATTACAGGAACAATCATAATAGTTAACAATAACAATGGCATCCAATTCTTCTGAATCTGGTGAGCAGCAAGCAGCTACAACAAAAATTCAAATATACCCAACTGCTAATTCTGGAATTTCTTCCTTCTGGAAAGGTCTCCTCTCTTCTGGGTTTATTTTACTATTTTATTTTATTTTATCTGTGCTTATTCATAATAAATTGATTTTGTTATTGCAGATAAATATGAAAAAGATGCTAAAAAATACTGGGATATATTTTATAAGCGTCACCAAGACAAAGTAAGTTATTTTAGTTCTTTTCTTCCCGACTTTTTTTTTTTTTTTTTTTAATACTGATATTAATGTGTCTGCTTCGTTTACAGTTGAAATGAAATACTTACCATTTGTTTTTCCTTTGTTTGGGAATTGATTGTAATACGATTGATTATTTTCATTGAAATGAGAGTTTGTTAATTTAAAAAATAATACTTGTATGAAGTATAATATTGGCTTGAAACAAGTGTAAATGAATGTCTTCAGGGAAGTTATGTAGGATTGTACATAGTATTACCTTCCTAGAAGTGTTGCACATAATCTCTGGCACCAAACACTTTATTATCTAGTAGCCATTGCTTCAAGCTCTAATATTAACGACATTGCTGACTTCGGCTAGCTCAGCATTTTGTGTTTTGATACTCACTTTCATACTCTTAATGCCTGCCTTGTATAAGAAAACCCTGGAAGAACTTAGAATTGGGATCCCTGACTTAATTTTTGAATATGTGGCTCTAGACTTTCTATTGAAGAGCCCCTATTTCCGACTGCATTGCCCCAGATATTGATCTGCAATTGCAATTCTAACAATCTGACCTGATATGACATTATCTTCGAGTGAATCCCATGGAACACTGAGAGTTCATCTTTATGAGGTCCTTCCAATTTCGTTTAATTGTGCTACACAATGAGCATAGGGTGGACGTGTACGTGCCCATTGCAAAATGTTCATTTAGTGATGAGAAACTTAATAGACATGCCGTGATATAATATATTTTAAATAACTTTTGAACCCCTAGTGCTGTAATTGGTAAGTAATAATTTGTCTGTTATGCATCAGTTCTTCAAGGATCGACATTACTTGGACAAAGAATGGGGTCGTCACTTTAACGTAAGATCTAGGTTTCATTGAGCATTACTCCTTTACATAATGACATAGTATTTCCTATTAATGTTTTTATAATATTCTGAATATATTTGTATGTATATTTCAGGGGCCTGGAGGAAAAGTTCTTCTAGAGGTCTGTTGTCCACTCATCATCTGATTTGTCTGCTGAAGTTTTTTAGTGGAGCTTTGTTGTCTTATGTTCTGTACTAGTTTTCTATGATCGCACAAAATTCTGATGGGGCTTGTAGTGATTTTTGTGTGTGATTGTGCCAGTTTAGGTGCTTAGTAATGAGCTTTTTGTTGAACATATCTAACTGCCTATTAATGGATTAACAAACAGGTTGGATGTGGGGCTGGGAATACTATTTTCCCTCTTCGTGCTACATACCCAGATGTCTTTGTACATGCATGTGACTTCTCTCAGAGAGCTATAAGTTTAGTGAAGGTTTGTAACACACCCCCTCCCCCTTCTTTCCCTGCCCCAAGCAATTTATGAATTTAGGCATGACATATTTATTCTTCAAGTGATTATATTTTTTCGTTGGCTTTTAAATGAGCAATAGATTTTCTCTTATTTTGGTACTGAAGGGACTCTTTTTCTTTCTGCATTTGCAGTCGCACAAAGAATACTCAGAGACCTCTGTAAATGCATTTGTTTGCGATCTGACAAATGATGACCTGAGCAAACAAATACCTTCCTCGTCTGTGGACATTGTGACTATGGTATACATATAATCTTTTTGGTTCTCTTGTTGTCTCTTTGGCACTATAGTGTTCATAGTCATTTATATCTATATTTTTGAAAACTGCTTATTGTATAGTATCACAGTGTAACATTTAAACCTTTATCATTAATCTTGAGAGAAGACTTTCCTAACTTATGTCACTGTAGAATCATGAGAATATTTTTGAAACAACTTTTCTGTCGTACTTGAAGCAACTAATTGATATTAGCAGGCTGCTTTATTTTTAAACTGTAATGGACCCGGTACAAGGAGCAACACTAGGAGACAAAATTAATCAAGGAAGAAGCACTAGGGAGTGTGGCAACATAGGACTGAATTCTGACACTCTTGAGCAGTAGAGGACAAACATTTTATTATTAGGTTATTTTTGTAGTTTCTCTTGATTATAAAAGGGAAGTAGCATAGCAATAGAAGGGTATGAGATTTGTATTGAGGAAATGAGAGAGAATGGTAACCTCAAGTTACTAAGAGAGTGATAACCTAAAGTTATCAAGAGACTGATAGCCTAAAGCTATTAATCTATCACTTTGTATTCAAATTTCTGCCATTGTCAATCATAGACTCAAGCTTTTATCTATAAATTTCCTGTTCAATAGAACTTATAATCTGAAAATCCTAGTCTAAACCTATATTAAAGCCCTGAACATGTTACAAATGTCCTCTATCATCATTGAGTTGCAAGTTCTGGGACTAATTATGTGTTAGAATCTTTGATGTTCTATTCAACTAGCTGACCCTTTAAACAGATATTTGTCTTGTCTGCAGTGTCGCCTGAGAAAATGTCACTAGCATTACAAAATATCAGAAAAACTCTCAAGGTAAATTTTTATAAGATTAACATTTTAGAAGTTTAATGCTTAATATATTTCAACTTCTACGCAGTTGGGACATATTCTTTTACAATCTGAACCATTCTTTTTTCTTTTTTTCTTTTTGTTTTTCCTTTTCCAGCCAAATGGCCTTGTACTATTCCGTGATTATGCCACTGGTGATCTTGCTCAGGTATTGCTCTATCGTTTTTGGTTTCAGCCGTTTGCAATTGTAAATATCTCATATTTACTTCTTGATAGTTGAGAGCATTCTAAATTTGTGCTATATTATATTTGTATCCTGCTTAGATTTTCAGGAATATCATCATTCTTTTGGTCTACCTCAATTGTGGAATTTGCTATACTTAGATAACTATTTTGGTACACTTTCATGCCCCCATCTATTCCACCCTCTCTCAAAAGGGAGAGATAATTACCTCAACAGTTTCTTACATACTTTAATTGAGGTTACCTCTGCCCACCTGCTGCTCACCCTTCCCCTTGAAAAAGAATAAATAATTGTAAAGAAAGTTATGCGAAGATTAGGTGAAAATATGCCAAGAAATTATATTTTGTGTTAACTTTTGAAATTTTACTCTGCTTATTGTATGATGGAGTTATCTTTAATTGTGGCAGGAGAGATTTACATGCAAAGATCAAAAAATCAGTGAGAATTTCTATGTCAGAGGTGATGGTACAGTAAGTTCTTTTATGAATATTGTTTGCATTAACAATCAACAATCTTATTTGTGCAATGAATTATATATTTAATTTTCGATCCAGCGAGCTTTCTACTTTTCTGAGGAATACCTGGCACATTTGTTTGAAGATAATGGATTTGTTACTGAAGAAATTGGGTTGTGTTGTAAACAAGTAGAGAATCGATCTCGTGAATTGGTTATGAATCGGTATGTATAGAGTTTGCAGTTCTTTCCCTTGAATCTAAGCTTCAGAGGTCTGCTGCTATCACTGCTATGGAAGTGTTTATTATCAAATTATGAGACTGCAGCTAAAGTATATACACACCTTTTTTTTTAGACTTGTTTAGCCTGTGCTCTTTACGCTAACTCTGCAGCTGTCAATTTTCTATTGAGAAGTTCCTGCACTAGTGCACTGCAATTTATGAATCAAAAGACAATGTTTGTGTCATGTCTTGGACAATTAATTGTCTTTAGGCATTCAGCTTAAATTTTCCATGGGCTTGACAATGCGTCTAGGCTTTCTTGAGACAACCTTGTTTGATATATCCAGACAATTGCATGTTAATGTGTATGTATGTGCGTAAAATATCATGAAAACTTTCTAATATGATATATCCATTGTTTTATTTTTTCTCCAAGATTTAAAGTGCAAGCCCTGGAATCCTTTGTTAATTTTTCAATATCATAAATTGAAAATGTTAGATGAATATAATATTCCATCCATTCAGCTTCAAGTTTTTGTGCCTCTAGTTGATCTAGTTTCCTGGGGGTGTTGAAAAATGCATCACTAAAGACAAAAGCATGGTATTAATTATTTTGCTTGTAGTATTACTTGTATAATTTAGGTATTTCCTTATAATGTAACATAACAATAGTCGCCAAGTTGAAAACCTTTCATCTGATCCCTGTTCGTTTATGTGTAATTGTAGACGTTGGATACAAGGTGTATTCTGTGTCGCGTCAATGGAGAATGATTTTGACCTAAGTAAGAGCACCCCTGATAGAGGAAGTACTGAAATTGAAGTGAAGGAAACTGCTACTGAGGTGCCTCTTACTGTAGAATTTGACTTGTCAGAAGGCTTGGCTGCACAAATGTTTGGTGTTTCACCTTCTAATGATGAGGTAATCAAGATTTTGGAACTCTGATTCTGGTTTGTGATGACTTATGTGAGATAGTCTCTGAAAAATATTTACCATATGCCAACAGAACTTAATCTTAATGTGTTTATTCAGTATGCTACTCTTTATAACATCTCAAGTGAACCGGGGTTGTCTCATTTAATCTTGAATATTTTTATGCCAACAGAAAAATATTCAAAACTGTCAACTATCAAGAATTTTACCTTTCTTGAGAGAGGATAGGGAAGGAAATAAGTGGGAAAAAATTCATGTTTGCAGACATTGTTTTGTTTTGTATCGTGTCCTCAGACAGTGTTTGAAATCAGAGTCAAAGCTTTTTATGTGCCTGTTTAACCTCATGTTTATGTGGCCACATTCTTAATCCAGGTTATCGATATCAGTTTTGGAGACTTGAATTTCAAGATTAAGGTTCTCTCCAAAGAGAATCAGCACACTTGTAGATCTACTGGCTTGATGCTGTGGGAATCTGCTCGTTTGATGGCTTCTATCCTTGTTGAAAATCCATCTATTACAGCAGGCAGACGAGTTTTGGAACTAGGTTGTGGTTGTTCAGGCATATGCTCAATGATAGCAGCTCAGTCTGCACATCTTGTAGTAGCCACGGATGCAGATGCTAGTACACTTGACTTGTTAACACAAAATGTCTCTGAAAATCTCAAATCAACACAGCTTGACAAATTATTGGTTAGAACACTACACTGGGGTAATCAAGAACACATCGATGCGATCAAAAAAGAGAATGATAGAGGCTTTGACGTCATCATAGGTACAGACGTGACATACATTTCTGAAGCTATATTACCCTTGTTTTCCACAGCTGCAAAGCTTCTATCAGTTGATGGCGCCTCTGGAGTGCGGTCAGAACCAGCCTTAATTCTCTGCCATGTCTTACGAAGAGTGGATGAGCCATCTATACTTTCAGCAGCGTCTCAGTTTGGATTTAGGCTGGTAGATAGGTGGCCCTGTAGTAGTCCAAGCCGTGTTCAAAGCATCATGACTTCCTGGCTCTCAAAGATCGACTCTAAGGACAAAATCCCTAGTACTGCATTAAGCATCCTCTATTTCCAAAGAGTAAAGTCAGATTCAGACAGTCAAAACTAAGTGCATCAACTATATGGGAATCAAAGCTACTTTCTGAACTAAGCCATTCATTTAGCTCACAAATTTTGGATATTTGTAACATTAGTTATTATTTTCTTTTGAAGACCGTAACATTAGTTATTATTTATGAACCTTATTTAGTCGATTACAGAAGTTTCGGAGAAACTTTATCGATCTGCAGTGAGATTCTGCCACAAATCCTACTCAAAATATTGTTAAGCTCTGAATCATCATCAGCAGATTTTGAAAGGCCTCTGTTTGACGAATATACTCAAGTCTACAATCAATCTGTCAATCTTCCATTGTGACTCAAACTACGAACTCAAACCCACCACGTATCCAAGCCTATCGCGGAGTTGGGCTTACCTAGTTACCCTTTCTAACGTCAACTGTAAGTTTATTTGTATGATCAATTTCATGGTTCATTATTCACAACTCGGTTTGCCTTTGTAGATTATATGTACAGACTTTCCTATCCGCAACCCAATCATTGCATCTATAACAACTTAGCAAGCAATTAAGTAGATAGGGTATTCTTCTGGAGTAATAAGATTAAACAAATCAAAAATTTATAATTAGTTACATTTAGTATACAAGTATATAATAAACTTAACATTTGGCTTCATATTGATGATGATAATTTGAAAAGTGATAACATTGTAATTATGTAATAGAAACTACTTTTTCTTAATCATAAACAAGTTTATAGTCTTCAAAATTGACAAGATAACAAATCTTAAGTTCATGGGAAGTAACCTTAGGTGATTGTTACTAACACTACTAGTATACATAAGTCCAAAAATCAATCACTATAAAGTAAAGTTCTAATTTGACCAAATTATGAAATAATTTAGTTAATGCTAATATAATATGTGGTAGTCAATTTTCAACTTCCTAAAATTGATACCCACTATAACAACTGGTCGATTATTTGATGGGAAAAGTGAAACACAACCCCTAACAAGGCAACAAATGATTATTAAAAAAAAAATTATATTCATTGATATATACTAAGAAGAATGTCCACGAACATATTCTCATAGTTCATGCATTTACAACAATAATGTCTGGTAGGAAAGCAATAATGCATGCATGCATCATCTTAATTAAGTGCTCAACCACAAGTAATTCTCCGCATCATACTAAAGATTAAGCAACCTAACTTAATTTTGTTTTTTAAATTGAGAGAATCCAAATCATCGACTCTTAGGTGACGCGGGTTTAAAATACTTAAAAGTATATTATACTAGAAAAATCACTTTAGCTCGGTCTAACATAATCTATAAGGCCCTATTTATTTCAACTTATTTTGTGTTATATTAAATAGATTTATATGAAAGTATTTTCACAACAGCATATATATTTTATATGTGAATGTTTTTAATGTTGTTTGAACCTATTTTGTACTATATAAACTTATCTGAATTATTTTGTCTGAACTTATTGCCTCATAAGTACAAGAAATTTCCGATCCTTGTTTAGTTAACATAATTAGTGCATCAATGGGCTATTTTGATTCTTTCTTGCTTCTATATGTTTTTCCTTGCTCTATAGATTCCTTGCAAGAAATTAAAGTTCTCATATTCTCTAAGACCACTAACTCACTAAGCTTCCATTATCTTGCATGAAATTCATTCTTTTAGTTGAGTATAGATCATTACATCCTGCTTATTCATTCATCTTATGTCATTATTGATTATTGTATAGATCAATCATATAGGTATTAACTATGCAAAGCCTATATGTCTTTCTTTAGTTCTTCTTTTTCTTTTTCTTTTTCTTTTTTTTTTTTTTTTGTTGGATTACTATATATAGGTCAAATGTTCTTTTGGACAGAATAAATATCAATAAATAAATAACCAAATAACCCAACCATTCTGAGTTGGATGAATAATGAACGATCAATTATATATCAGTAGTTTATAAGATCATTATTTTGAGGTAATTTATTGGTAAATTACATTATTTTGAAGAACCTTGAGAAATAATGATCTTATAAACTACCTCAAAAGTTTATAAGGCATTCACATAAATGTTACGGTCGGCCTTAAATGTTAGATTAATGTTAGCTAATTTTACTATATTTTTGTATAAAAGTGCTTAGTAAAGAACTATCAGTTGTTGATAGCTAGTACTCCAGTGGTAAAATAATTTCAATACAGTAAAAATAATTTTAATTCAATAAAAATAAGTTCAGTTAAGTAAAATTAATTTTAGTTCAATAAAAATGTGTAATTTTAAAGAAGAAATATAATAGAAAATCAGTAAAAATACTTTTACTTCACCAGATATAATATCAGTTCAGTAAAAGTAATTTAATTCAGTAAAAATAATTTCAGTATAGCAAAAATAATTCCAATTCAACAAAAATAAGGTGAAATGAACAGGGCCTTATTTGTGTAAATTGACTAATAAAAATACTGAGAGAGATTATAAAATCCTTGACAAAGGGTAACAAATTTGACCAACTTTGTTTAGGATAGAATAGACGTTTCACAACTATATTTACAAATTTCTCCTTTGCGGAGGAGGAGGAGGAGGAGGAAAAAAAAAAAAAAAAAAAAAAAAAAACTTCTAATTCAGTTTTTTTGGATTTAAACAAAATTTCCAAACAAATGCTCTCATTAGAGATTTGGAATATTCTTATTTTTTCTTTTTTTTTGACAAAATATTCAAATCTCTCTCTAAATGCCTCAAACCTTTTTTTTTTTTTCAATTGCCCCAAACCTCTCTCAATTAATCACCCGCATGAAGAATATGTACATATCTATTTTATTCAATTTATTTTGTATGATTGCATTTTATCTGAAACTATCTAATCTCATATACTGCGTAATTTGAAAAACTTATTTTCCTAGAATTTGTTTTATTTTTATGAGAAATCGATTGAATTTTATTTTTTTTTTCATTTTAAAACAACCTAAAATAAATAACTATTTTGTCTGAAAGTATTAACTTTAAAAAAAAAAACTATTTTGACTGAACTTATTTTTCTCGTTTGATCTTTTTTTCATATAATTCAAAATAAATTAAATTAAATTAAATTGGGGCCTAAGTATATCACACAAGTTTGAAAACAAGTTTAATGGAGTAATATTAAAACAATTACTAAGTAGCGAATAAACACCATCATATTAAACACCATATTTCTTCAAAAACTTTAGATTTTTATAGAATAATTTAAAGTACATGGTAATAATTATACAATATATTTTGTCTAATAAACTAATTGATATTGTTAGAAGCGTGACACCTTATTAAAAACCTTATTAAGAAGAAGAAGGTACTTTAGATTCAATAAGAACAATAAACATATTTTCTTTAATTAGCAATTAGATAAAGAGCAAATCTGAAATCGACAACCAAGGTTACAGAATCCAAAGATGGTACATAGAACAATCCCCAAATATTGAAAACAAAACATTGTTACGATACCCACTTCTTACCATTTTGCTTAATTAATCATCGGAGAATAAGTTAATGCAAGTTGACATGCAATATACTCTTACTTAATTAAACCATTTTTGGACCACCTATTATATATGTCCTACTTATAAATTTAGTAAGAACAACGTTATTAGTTCACCAAGTACAGCTAATAACTTGAACTTTTTTTTTTTTTTTTTTTTTTGGTATATACTAATAATATATACTTGTTAATATGAAATTATTATTATAATAATATTTGTTGGTAATTATAATTATTTGACTTTTTTTAATGAAAATTCTTATGTGAATCAATTTGATACACTTAAGACTTTCGCTCTCTTCATCCTATCGTAAAATGATACGAAATACTCCTTCCATCTTTAAAAGTTTTACTAGCTTTAACTTTCTTTTGTGAGGCAATCATTGTCCAAATTGGAAAAACATAAGGGGTCGTTTGGTTCACACAGGGGAATCGGAATGGAATGAACAAAGGGAATGTAAGAGAATGGCATGGAATGAAACCCTTTACATGTAGTATGTTGTTTGTTTTCAAAAAACAAAGGGAATCACCACCACCACCACACAACCCCCTCTTTCTTCACAATTCCACTTTTCAAGCCACCCCACCACCCAGCCACCACCTCGACGGAACTCGTCGGCCCTCGACATACCTCTCCCACCCTCGCCGCCCCTCCCCTCCCTAGAAAACATTCTGCCACCCACACAAACCCTAGAAACCACTCTCCCTCCACTTAAAGTCGGCCGACCATCCCACCACCCTCGAAACCCTAGCGGGTGGTGGGAAGGTCGGCCGACGATTTTAAGTGGAGGGAGAGTGGTTTCTAGGGTTTTGCGTGGGTGGTGGAAGGTTTGATTGGGGAGAGATGATATTTTCGAGGGGAGAGGTGGGGGAGGTGCGACAGGTTCCAGCAAGAGGTGGGGGAGGTGCGACGATTTCGGCGAGAAGTTGGGGAGGTGCGGCGAGTCCGGTGAGGTGGCTGGGCAAGTTCCGGCGAGTAGGATGGTGGTGGGTATGGTGGCTAAAGAAAGGGAATAGAAAAGTCTAGGGGGGGTGGGGAATCAAAGTAGATTAATTTTGGGTAAACTTAAAAACAAAAATGGGTAAAGGGAATGAAAAAAGTGACAAACAAACAACAACAAAGGGAATGATATCAATTCATTATTCCCATTCCCTTTGATTATTAACCCTAACCAAACGGCCTTTTAGATACGGAGAGAGTAATAATATATAAAATAAAAAAAAAGTTATATAGTTTTCTAAAATCCTTTATGTTCCTCTATATATTATGCATTTATGCTAGAGAGTTTAGTTGTAGTTATATGATTATAGGGTACGATTATAGCTTTCTAGAATTTTCAAATAAAAATTAAAAAATACTTGCTTTCCACTAGGTATGAGCAATTTAGCATAAGGTGCATACCCTAACTAAGGGTATTTTCAAACAAATTTCATTTTTTTTTTTTTTTATTGAGGAAAAGCGAGGGAGCCTTCATTAATTAGAGGATAAATTGTCCATAAATACATATGGTGTAATACACTAGGACAACAATTTGACCAAACTTGTTCTAAACCAATAGGCATACGACGAGCTAAATTTCATTTAATTGATACAATTGTTGTAGCAATTATTACTACTAAGTACTAACATTGCTAATTTTCTAGTTACTTTGGATTTGTTGATTGTTATTACTCCTTCATTCTCTATAACTTGTGGTGTAGGGTACAATTATGCAAAAATGTTTTTGTAAAAAATATTAGTTGATCAGTTATTTAAAAAGTAATAATTCTTGTTTCAAAA